ACTTCCCAAGATATTCCTGTAAAAGAAAGTGAACACTATACACAAATACAGACTCAAGCCTCGTGAGGGAAGGTTTTTTGTGTCTGCATTTATCCATTTTGTTTATTATCCTACTCCTTCTACCTACGAAAACACCTGTCACTTGTTATTTTTGTTTTGTTTTGTTTGAAATGGACTCTCATTCTGTCACCCAGGCTAGAATGCAGTTGTGCAGTCTCGGCTCACTGCAACCTCCACCTCCCAGTTTCAAGCTATTCTCCTGCCTCAGCCTCCCTAGTAGCTGGGATTTTAGGCACACGCTACCATGCCTGGCTAATTTTTGTATTTTTAGTAGAGACAGGGTATCCTCACATTGGCCAGAGTGGTCTCGAATGCCTAACCTCAAGTGATTTACCCACCTTGGCCTCCCAAAGTACTGGGATTACAAGTGTGAGCCACCACATCTGGTCCTATTATTTGTTTAATGAACAAATTCAATGTGTGTCTGTCCTTCAAGACCTAACTAAATTTGCTACTCCCCATGATAATTTATCTTTTCTGTGCCACAGTGATCTCCTCCTGAGAATACCTTTAAAACTTATTTGTCCACATACTTGGAATTTTACCTATTGATTCCATTTTCATGCATTTTATCCTTTTCTTTAATTAATTTATAATTACTTACGCCAGTCTGCTGTAGTAGCAATCTAAACTTTAATTTCTTCACTCTAAAGACTTAAAGGAGGTACAGAACAGGAAAAAAATATCTGATTACTGAATATTTCTAGGTTTACTTTTTGCTCTGGAATTCAAGGTATTTTGAAGTCTTGACACCTGAGCAATCTCCAGACTAGTTACAAAGAACAGTCCAGGTCCTGGCTTCATTTATTCACAAATTATCAATTCACTAAGCTTGGAAATGAACTTACTTGTAGGGCTTATAAAGATATCAAATTAATCTTATTCAACAATATTCTGGAATGTGTGATCATCTCTAAATATCAATTCCTGTGAGTTGATAATGACACATCAGATGCATTCCTTTAAATTTTAAGACATTTGTTATTTTTAATAACATTTATTTTGATAGAAGAAAAACCCAGGAACTGTAGAAAATTAAAAGCACAGAAGACAAGGAAAGATTAAAAAATAAAAACATTATATTCCCACCACCAAGGGATTAACATTTTTTATATCTTAGTATATATCCTTCCATTTTTTACAGTTGATATCTGCCTTTTAAATAAATACTTTTCTCATCTAATTCTCAAATTATATATAGATTTCTCTAAATGTCCCAAAAAGAACTTCACAGCTAAGTTGTACAAACCGGAATTCACAATGGCAGGTAGGCATTCTGTCCCTAAATCTCTTTTCTGAAACAATGATAGTTGAAAAGCCTGGGACAGTTGTTCTGCTGCCTGAGAGTGAGTGTGCCTGCCAGGGTCCCCTGGCCTTCCAGTGTCCTCTAAAAGAGCAGTGGTGGAAGGTGATAGTTGGTGCAGCACCTGAACAGATGCCTTGATCTGGAGCATAGCTAAATGGCAGAGCAGATTTCTTCTCACAGGATGCTTTCTGAGAACTTGAATAGCCATGAAATGACAACTAAATGTCTTTCAGGAGAAGGAAACTTCTCGATATACTGCCATTAGCCACATCAACTTGCTGTTTCATTTAGTCAACATTCTGCTGGTAGGTCTGCAGACCGCAAACCAAGCTAGTCTCTCCCTTCAAACCAACACTGTCAGTAACAGTAACACAGCAGGAGTAACACAGCATGACTGTTTTGCCCTTGAGAACAACCAGATGTAGCAGTTAGCTTTGTGTGTTGAGTGAGAATGTCTTTATCCTCACTTGAGGATAATGTATCCTACTTGAGCCTATGCAGAACTCTAGGCTCAAGCTCAACTCAAATCATGTCTGAGAGATAACTATTCGCTCTCTTGTGAAATTATATTCTGCATCAAAAATAATGTTCTACTCCAACTCCTATAACCTCCAGGTACAGGTTTGGGTACTGGCTTCAAGTGCCTGGGGAGCACAGTGTGCTCACCACACAGATGTAGGAGGCTGAATCGCTGATCTGGGAGGCTGTGATGTGCAGAGAGCTTTGCTTGGTGTTTGCATCCAGAGTTGCTGTGTACCTTCCATTTGACTTTGTGTTCTCACTGAAAGTCATGATTATCAGGGTAACAGGACCTTTCCCAGCATCTTGCTTATACCACCTTAAGTTGTTGAAGGGAGTCACTGTATAATTGCATTGAAGAGTGCAGTTCTTTCCCTCCAGGATGACCAGGGACTGAGGACTCTGCTCCACTTGGTTTTTGCCATTCCCTCCTATTCAGAAAGCAAAGTGAGATTCAAGATATCCGTCATCCAGTATTAATACTGTCCAATTTGCATCCCTTCCTTACTCTCCACAGTGAATCCCAAGTGAAATAGAAAATGATCCTGTTTTCTCCCTTCCTCCTATCCCAATGGACTATACCTTTACCCTAAATCCTAAGAAAATATTCCCTTGACTTACTATGTTAACGTTGGTAAAACTGTCCACCAACTTACTATAAAAATAAAGCCACAAAATCACCAAGCAGGTCCTCAGATACTTCATTTTTATTCTGCAGAGATCTGCTCCCAGAAGTTGATTTGTGTATTCAAAATCTTGTCTGTTTTTAACACTAAACAAAGGGTTCCTCAGAGAGTACGCCTAGCCAATTAGAGACCAGGCTTCGCTATCTTACACATACCACACATTCAGAACTGCAGGCGGGGCAAATGCAAATACTGCCATCTTGGGATCAGAGCTACAATTGCTCAGAAACTTTGATTCAGCTTTTTTCCTCCTTACAGTTTGCAACATGATATAGATGATAAACTCCTTCATGTCTATGTGAGCACAATGGATTAGCAATTAGGACATATGTTTGAAATTCTGCATGCTGGCTCTATGTGATATTACATAGGAGAGTTAAGCCTTAGCTTTCTCATCTGAAACTAAGTATGGTAACACTTACCTAACAATTTTTGAAAAATTGAAAAGAGATGATTCATGTAAAGGCTTATTGTAATGGCTAACATGAACTTAACCTTCAACCAAAATATAAGGGAGTTTTATCTGTTCTATTCACTGCTATATTGTCAGTTTCTAGAATATGGCCTGTCAATAAATAGGCATACAGTGAATTTTTATTGACTGAATGAATAAACGGTAGTTTTGTTCTGGTAATGACAGAGGTATTTTTATTATTCATTTTAATTCAACAATTTTTTTTAAATGCCTGACTTTTCAAGTATGATGGTAAGTGCTGAGAATAAGTAAAGTACCTGCACTCATGGGATTTCATTCTAACGAGAGGAAAGACAGAGTATTTGAGCATAGATGCAAGTGATTGGTAAGTGTTGAACATTTTCATATGCCTGTTTACCATTTGTACATCTTCTTTTGAGAAATGTCTATGCAAATCTTTTGCCTATTTTTTAATCAGATTATTCCATTTCTTCCTATAGCGTTGTTTGAGCTCCTCATATACTCTGGTTATTAATCCCTTGTCAAATCGGTAGTTTGCAAATATGTTTCACCACTCTGTGCACTGTCTTTTCACTTTGTTGATTGTATTTTTTGCTGTGCGGAAGTGTTTTAACTTGATGTAATCCCATTTGTCCTTTTTACTTTGGTTGCCTGTGCTTGTGGGCTATTGCTCAAGAAATTTTTGCCCAGACCAATGTCCTAGAGATTTTCCCTAGTGTTTTCTTGTAGTAGTTTTAGAGTTTGTGATCTTAAATTTAGGTCTTCAATCCATTTTGATTTTATTTTTGTATATGGTGAGAGATAGGGGTCTAGTTTCATCCTTCTGCACATGGATATCCAGTTTTCTCAGCACCATTTATAGAAGGGACTGTCTTTTCCCCAGCCTTGGCACCTTTGTCAAAAAATGGGCTCATCGTTAGATGTGTGAATTTGTTTCTAGGTTCTCTATTCTGTTCCATTGGTCTATTTATCTAATTTTATGCCAGTCCCATGCTGTTTTGGTTGCTATAGCTCTGTAGTATAATTTAAAGTCAGGTAATGTAATTCTTCAAGTTTTGTTCTTTTTGTTAGCTTTGAATAGCTATTCTTTTTGAATAGCTTTGGCTATTTTGGGTCTTTTGTGGTTCCATATATATTTTAGGAATTTTTTTCTATTCCTGTGAAGAATGGCATTGGTATTTTGATAGAGATTGTACTGAATCTGTATATTGCTTTGGGTAGTATGGATATTTTATCAATATTGTTTCTTACAATCCATGAACATGGAGTTGTTTTTCTTTTCTTTTCTTTTTTTGTGTGTGTTCTCTTCAATTTCTTTCATCAGCATTTTATACTTTTCATTATAGAGATCTTCCACTTCTTTGGTTAAACTAACCCCTAGGCACTTAATTTTATTCATGGCTATTATAAATGGAATTACTTTTTTATTTCTTTTTCAGATTGTTTATTGTTGACATATGGAAATGTTACTGGTTTCTGTATGTTGATTTTTTATCCTGCAACTTTACTGAAGTTATAGTCCTAAGGTTTTTTGTGTGGAGTCTTTAGGATTTTCCAAATATAAAATCATATCATCTGCAAATACAGAAAATTTGACTTCTTCATATTATAATTCCTTTTTTCTTTTTTTTTTTTTTTTTTTTTTTTTTTTTTGAGATGGAGTCTTACTCTGTCACCCAAGCTGGAATGCAGTGGCATGATCTTGGCTCACTGCAACCTCCGCCTCCCGGCTGCAAGTGATTCTCCTGCCTCAGCCTTTCATGTAGCAGGGATTACAGATGCCCACCACCATGCCCAACTAATTTTTGTATTTTTGGTAGAGACAGGATTTCACCGTATTGGCCAGAATGGTCTCTATCTCTTGACCTCATGGTTCACTGTCCTTGGCCTCCCAAAGTGCTGGGATTACAGGCATGTGCCACCACACCTGCCCTACAATTCTTGTTTCCTTTAAGAACCCATTATTTCTTGGGCAGAAGCATTCCTAAGAAATCCTCCCATCTTGCCCCAGCTCATCAGGTATACATTAAGCATTTGCAACCTCATCTGTCACAACTGTGTCTGTAAACATACTATTTCCTTGGATGACCTGAGACAAGGCCAGGATTGTCTAGATTTTATGCAGGAATGAACAGCTAAACCATTTCATTTATCTCGAGGTTTTATACTTTTAAAATCACAAATGTCAAGCAAGGTTGAGGAACTATGGAGACATTCTGTTTTCACTCTTATTGTTAAAGCATCTGGTGTAAGGCATGTTCTTCTATCGTGTTTTAGAGTTTATTTGGATGGCTTTCACACTCAGAGTGCCTGGGGTGAGTGATGAACAACAACAGTAGAGTAGTTCCAGGTCCCTAATCAGAGTGGATCACAGCAGCTGACACTCAGCAGCCAGGCCCCTTGTGCTGCTTAGAGTTTGTGCTCAGCTCCCCCTGCAGTCCCTGTCACTGTGTCACTCAGAGCACAGAAGTACACAGCTGAGTCTGATTCTCGAACTGAGCCTTTCTCCAAGTGGAAAGAAGTGGTTTCTGTACGGTACATGGCTTCAAAATCTTTGTTGCTTCTTCCCTTGTCATTGCCCTTCGTGGCTTTCAGGAGGAGCTCTGGACCTTTTCCAGGATATTGGACATACCAGAAAAGGGAAGGGTACCCTGTGGATTCATAGGAGCAGTTCACAGTCAGGGAATCCCCTTCAGAGAGGAGCACTTCACCTTCTGTCTGGACCACTGAATCTCCATTGATTCCCCCTGAAAAAAAAAAAAAAAAACTTGATATAAGGTAACTTATACCAAGTTACCTTAGATGTGATCTGAGCTCTACCCCTCAGAGAAAACTGTGATTAAAGATTAAATCAACACAATGGAACAAAAGATTCTAAGTTGTAAGCACCATTTTACTTACCAAACATTAAGAACAGTGCAAGCGCTGGTCCTGGAGAAGAGTTCATTTTTAGACCCCCTGGTGTCCTTGGGTGTTGACTTCTTAGTGTGAGGAAAGGTTAAGCTCACACCGAAGGGATGAGTGTGAGCAGGAAATGTCAACGTGTTAGGAAAATGCACCCCCTTGTGGGCAAGATACTAAATTCAGAGGACTGTTGATCTGTTCTCCCAAAAGTCAATCCTGTATTTTCACTTCTGGCTTTTTTTTTTCTAAGACACCTGTTAGCTGTCTAATGGTTCCTTGCATATCTAAAGAATAGTTGGTCTTTTTTATAACCCTATTTTTTTTACAGCAAACTGTCTGACTTGAAAGCTCTTTTCATGCCATGACATTTCTGAGAATAATTCATTTTACTTTTTCTAATTTATCTATCTTGGCCCATCCCATGATCCACTAAAATATCATATAAGCAAGTTTTTAGAATAAAACTAAAGGAATGTCAGTAACACATGTTTAATCATTAGTAGATTATTTGAGATGGCAGAGACTTAAGCTTTTTTCACTGCTGTATTCCCATACCTAGTACAATATCAGACACTCGGCAGGTGGTTAGAAAACACTTCTTAAACACACAAATGCATAAATAAATGAATGGCCTTTGGTTGAGGAATTGCTACTACTTGAAATATCATATTGCTTCACATTTAAGACATCAATAACAGAAATGCAATTAATAATTTGTTTCAAAGAAAAAGGGAAATTTTATTATGTATATTATTAAAAAGTAAAGAATATATAACTCTTAGTAATGAAAAAATACAGTAATTAAAGTCATTGAATCCTTATAAAATTATCTGGCATCACTTTCTTCTCCTGTAAGAGAAGAAATGATTCCCAGATAATGTGACTGGCCTATGTGCATCAGGCAAAATATTGTGATATTAAACTTTTAATGGAAATTTACCCTTCATTATAAACCCTCTAGATAAGTTCATCCACCAATACTATTGACCTATAGTTATATTTACCACAGGATAAGATACTTAAATCGTTTGGATTTGCCTCAAAAGACCAGAGAATAAGCTCAATCTCAGCTTCTAGGATTGGCACAGACATGTCTGCTGATGGATAAAACCATAGCAAGAATATCACTCCTCTGCATGTCAGAGTTAGTTGGTGATCATCTTAAAAATATGGATTTGGAGATGTAGCCATTGTTATTCAAATTTACAAAATAATCTTTGGGAACACTGACCTAAGCAGACAGACAAGATATCGGTGAAGCGCTTCTGGGATCCACATGAGAAAAACCTCCAATCCTCACAGATTCTCCTTTCGTGGTAGTACTGAAGTCACAGCAGCTAAAACAAATGCTGTTTACTCTCACTATTCTTGTTCATTCAACTTATAATAAAAATCTCTCGATGTTCTCAGGGCAAACTTGGTGAGAAGGATGCTGTTTTTCTGTCAGCCCCACTAACATTTATCTTTGACTGTGGAAGCCTTCCATTGTGCTCCCTGAAGCATTCACTCCCCATGAATTCAGAGACACCAGCTACATGGTGCTGCAGCAAGGTGTAAATATTAACAAACTCTAAACTTGGGAAGAAAATTCTGATCTGGACATTATTTGGGTCTATACAAAGGCTTTCCTCCTTTTCCCTCTTATCCTGTGTCAAATCTCAGGGATCAAGCTGTGTCTTCTTCCTTTTCCTGGTTCTTTTGGCCCATTCATCTAATCGACTCTACCTGAAGTCTAAGAAGAAATATGCAGTGAGCAGTTTCACTGTCCCTAACTTTCTTTACTTTTTCCAAGCAAGCCTTTTCCTTCGTATTGTAACAACCCTCCATTCTTTTGAGGAAATCTATTTTCCGCACCATGTGTATTAGTTCATTCTTGCATTGCTATGAAGAGATACCTGAAACTGGGTAATTTATAAAGAAAGGAGGTTTAATTGGCTCACTGTGCTGCAGGCTGTATAGGAAGCATAGGGACTTCTGCTTCTGGGAGCCTCAGGAAGCTTCCAATCATTGTGAAAGGCAAAGCTGAAGCATGGCATCTTACATGGCAGAAACAGGAGCAATAAAGAGAGGGTGGGAAAGTGCCACATACTTTTAAACTACCAGATCTCGCAAGAACTCACTATTTCAAGAACAGTAGCGAGAGAATGATGCTAAACCATTCATGAAAGATCCACCTCAGTGACCCAACCACCTCCCACCAGGCCCCACCGCCAACACTGGGGATTACAGTTGAACATGAAATTTGGGTGGGGACACAGGCCCAAGCCATATCACCATGATTTCATAAGGAGATGAATGTAATAGAGGAACTGTAGCAGATTTGAGTGAAATACAGTAAAACTGTGTAATCAGTGAAAAAGAAAATGCGTAAGCTAATTCCCGACTAATAATAGATTTATTTGAATGGTCTGACTTCAAGCCTCAGAAGCTCTGCTTCAGGTACTTGAATTTATACAGATGTGTTGTCAGTCAAGAGTCAGTCTGGCAAACAGAAATGCTGGGCGAGGTGTCAGAGCCACAACAACAGGAAGTGATTGGGTTAAAGTAATAAGAAGAATTTATCCATAACAGTATGGGTTTGAAAAGAAAGTTTTATTAGAAACAATGCTGTAGAGGAGTGCAGCGGGGTGCTTCGGCAAGAGGGGACTGAGCAAGCCACGGTGGATTTTTCCTTAGGGCCATTTATGAACAAGAGTTTAAGGGTAATTTGGACCATATTAGCCACCAGGGTAGTGATAAATGGTTACATCTGTAGACATTTTGGTGCCTTGATGTCAGCAAGGGCTGCACAGTAAGTTTCAACATACATGCATTCCAAACATATATAGAAATTCTGGTTACTTATACATTTTGGAGAAAGAAGCCTGGTACCACATGCCTGCATTTGATAATGGGGATGTTGATTAATAATTACTTCTGAATTTCTCAGATAAGGATTTTTGCCTCTGGATGGTCTGCTTGATGGCCACCAGGTGATCTTTGCTGTCCTCATAAAACAAATCCAAAAATTTTCAGTAGAAAGACATTTAGAGTTCAGGCAGACAATGTGGTGAGAAGCAGCACACTGCGGGGCAGGTAAGCTGGGGCATTGGGAACCTCTTTCCCTCCCCACCTCAGTGAGCTGATGGGCAGCAGCATCTCTGAGCCCAGACCTCACTGGGCTATGAAGCAGTTTAGAATATCTAGAAATCCTGCTAACCTCTGCATAGCCCTCACTGAGCTGCGAAGGACACTGTGCCTTTGGGAGGAAATGGATGTTGCAGGGGGAGAAAAATGGCAGCTGCCAGAAGGCGCTTAGGGCTGCAGTAGTTTGGTGAACCCAAGAAGGTGGGTCTAGAGAAACAAGCTCAGGAACTTCATTATGCCATGGAGTTGCACAGATGCAGGTCCCAGGCTGACCACTTTGTCCCAGTTAGACAAGACCTTACCTCCTCCCAAAAACACCAGAAATGATGGACAAAGGCCTTAATGAACCTGAATGGTGAGCAGAGCCCCTGCAAGGACAGGTGAAGTGGTTATCAGGCCATTGGGTGGTTGCTGTTTGTTCTACCAACTTTGATATCCAAAGAGAGAAATCGCATGCCACATTTGGTGGATTGGAAATGCCTACCACCCTTTGGGAGGATTTGCCAATCTTTATAGAAGGCCCATGTAAATAATATGAAAAAGCTACTTTTGACTTTTCCCTCAACCTTTTAAAAGAAAATTTTGCTCCACCTAGCCCTTCTAGATTTAAAGAGGTTACTGATGTATAATACAGTTAGAAAATCACGCATCTTATATATGCCCATTTGTTGTTTAAAAAAAATCATAGAAACACCTTCTGAAAATGACCCTTTGAAACGAAAGTTGTTAGACCAGCTCTAAAAGTGACCCCAGGAGCAACACACCTTCATGTTCATTCAGTGGGTTAGAGGCCATGGAGCAGAAAGCAGTGAGAATGAGAAGAAGGTTCCCTTCAAGACTCGTTACATTAGGAGACATTTTCATATTATAACCACTGTTTTATGTGTGCATTTCATTCTTCCCTACTATGTATATATTGTTGACAATGCTGACAATTTTTTTGAAATATCTTCCCTTTCTTTTTATTTTATTTTATTTATTTATTTATTTATTGAGATGGAGTCTCGCTCTTGTCGCCCAGGCTGGAGTGCAATGGTGCCATCTCAGCTCCCTGCAACCTCTGTCTCCCAGGTTCAAGCAATTCTCCTACCGCAGCCTCCCGAGTAACTGGAATTACAGGCGCCTGCCATCACACCCAGCTAATTTTTTTGTAATTTTAGTAGAGACAGGGTTTCACCATGTTGGCCAGGCTGATCTCGAACTCCTGATCACAGGTGATCTGCCCACCTTGGCCTCCCAAAGCGCTGGATTACAACTGTGAGCCACCCTGTCTATTTTGTCTTCCTTGGTGTTCTAAAGTGCCTGGCCTATCTTGTCTTTCTTTGGGATTTTGAATTGGTAAATACTCATGATGTATAAAAAAGCATCATACATACTGTATGATCTCAATCACACATAAAACTGGGTGTTGTCTGTATACATACACAGGACCCAAAAGAACACATCAAACTATAAGCTGCTTGTAATTGTGAATGACTTTATTCTTTGCTTCTTGTGTTTTTCAGCTTTCTATAATGTACATATTAACTTTTTAAAATAAAAGTTATTTTTAAAACTCTTTTTAAAAGTAAGATTTAATACAGGAAATTAGACATACAACCACTGAAAGGGCTAATGAAGCAAAGATCAGAAAGACTGATCACAGGAAATTTTAAGGTATGATGCATCATCCAACTGCCTCTGACACCAAAATGAGTGATTCTTAGGAAGAAACCCAGAAGTCAAAGTCCTCACAGCTGGTAATCTGAGCTGCCTGCACACAGCCCGTACAGAAGAAGAATCGTTTCTCTTTCTTTTCTACTTGCCCAATATTATTCCCAAATGCCTCTCATTTGTAGAATTAAAACTAAATAAATGAAAAGAATTGTGTGAATTGTTGTTTGGGTTTCTTCCCTAGCAAAACAAGGGAGTATATTAAAGGGCAAAAGAAAGGAGCCCAGTTGACAATGTATAACACAGCACTCCGGTGAACTAAGCAGCACACCAGTGAACTTGGCTCTTGGTTTCCTATGCTGGATTATTCTATTGTTGATGTGGCTACACTGGAAAATACAGTGCCCTTTTGTGTGTGTGTGATTCTGAATACAAAAGTGCATCTGCACAAGATTTGAAAGGCAGATGGGAAGCAGCAGCCATTATCTTCAGAGATCACCATTGATTAGAGATGGTGAAAGACACGGTGGTCTTGGCTGGTTCCATTTTGTTCTTCCCTGATGGCACCTGACAATAAATAACCAGCTCCACAGCACATAAAATTACCATTATCACAGTAGTTCTCAAATGCTAAGCATATTGCATAAGCTACTGCAACAACTTACACATGAACCCCCTGCCAATTCACCACAAGTAATTAATAATTTTGATGCTATGATCTTTCTGTACTTATCACTACCACACCTACTTCTAATAATGGGATCCTTGTTCCCTTCTGGCCATGAATAACTTAATTCCAAAATCTCTTTCTATGTATTTGCTCTCTATGACTACTTCTGTACCAAATCTCTTACACTGGGTTCTTCCAGAACCAAATCTTGAAAAAATGATTATAAGTAATTTATTTGGGAAATGCAGGAAATGCAGATAGAGAAGGCAGGATGTTATATAAGAAATGCAAGTGTTTGCAAGGGTGTGAAGAAACAGGAGTTCCTCTACCCTGCTACTGAGAGCAAAAATTGGTAAGAATATTTCAAGAGCAATTTGACAATTGCAAGTAAATTTTTTAAGATGTGAATCACTTCCAGGTGTATAACATAAAACATTCTATATCTATATATAAGGAAACATAATCGTATTCCGTGTAGAATTTTATAATAAAAATTAGAAACATTCATTGAATAAAGGATTAACAAAATCCTTTCTCTTTCTACATAAAAAACATAAAAAAAAAGATTAACTTTTTAATCTCTGTCTCTCTGGAAATCCAATAAAAGTAAAATGTCAGCTATATTACCAAGTAAGACTGTTATGGTAAAAATTATCCTGATTGATAAACTGCATCTGGACTGTAAATGGACTGTGAATACTTTTTAAGATGTCATAGTTTTGGAGCAGTGACTTTTATAATTGTTACAGGAGATACTGGTTTCCATTTGGGACATGGGATTTCTAAGTCTGGATGACCTGCTCGGTCTTATTCCCTCACACCTTAGCTCTTGATGTGGGAGGAGGGGAGGGAGGCATTGCAAAAAGAATAATCTGTGAACTGTATAGACAGCTGAAAGGACTCCTCTTGAAAACACTTAGGGTGTGAAGGAAACCAATACCTATGTGGCCTATTGAGCTTTGTAAACTTGATTGTCTAACTGAGCCTAAGTCTATCACAGCTGATGGCATTGCACAATCCAATATGCATGAAAAGGGACATATAATATATTCATGAAATGGAGTACTGTATATCAGCTAAAAGCAATGAAATATATCTACATGTATAAATTTTTCTATATCTCAAAAATATCTTAGAAAAGAAATCAAGTTTCACCATTACACATACAATTGGATTGCATTCATATAATTTTAAAAACACAAAACATGGCACCACACATTGTTTAAAAATATCTATGTGTTAGAAATAAAAAAAACATGGACTTGAGAAAAAGTTCATAATGGGTTTGAGAGAGGGATGAAGGTATTAAAATTGAGGAGAAAAATAAGAGAGATGGCAATTTTATTTGTAATGTTTTATTTATTTTTTAAAATTTGAAACTTTACATTTATGTGTATTTATTAATATCAAGAGATAGAAATAATATAATATTGTTTTAAAATGTTACAATCTGC